GTCGTGCGGGAGGGTGCGGCCGGGGGACTTGGCGCACACCTTCTTGTACGAGGACTGGGCCATGCGCACCTTCGTCTCGTGGTCGATGCGGTCGGGGAGTTCCTCGAGCACCTTGGCGACAGGGACCCCCTTGCAGATGAGGTCGCCGATGCACTTGCCACCGTGCAACCCATTGCAGTGGGGGCACGGCTTGCGCCCAGCGGCTGCGCGGCCGCCGCGGTCCCCGCCGCCCTTGTCGGACTTGATCTGCGCCTGGAGAGCGGCGACCTGGGACTCGGCGGCCGCGAGCTTCTCCTTGAGCACGCCTTGCGAGGCAATCTCCGCCTCGAACGCCGCCTGCGCAGCCGCCTTGGCCTCGTTGGCGCGGTCCGCGTTGTCTTGGTCGAGGATGCCCTGCATCGCGAGCGTGGACGCCTTGAGGCCGTACGTCTTGCCCGATTGCGCGGCGAGTTGGCGCTGTATGCCGATCTGCACGCGCATGTTTGCGCCGAGCGTGGCCCCCTTGGCGGCGATCGCGTCGAGGATGTATTCCTCGATCACCTCGTCGGGGAGGTGCCACTGGGAGTCCTTGAGCAACTTGTTCGCCTGCTCGATGCCCGTCTTGAACTTGGCGAGGCTCGCGGACGTGAGGTCCTTGAGAGCGTCTGGGGAGTACGCCTTCTCGAGATCCGCGCGCAGCGCCTTCGTGCGCACGTTCTTGGAGTTCGTGTCCTCCGACTCGATGAGCGACTTGATCGCCGCGATGCCCTTCTTGATGTCGTCGTAGTGGTCGGCGTCCTCGTCCGCCAACATCTCGGCGAGCGTGTCGTCGTCCTTGACGGCGTTCTGCAGCGCACCGTAGAGTTGGCGCGACAGAGTCACCGACAGGTCCTTGAAGAACTTGTCGATCATGGCCGGGATGAGGCCGTCCGCAGTGCCGATGTTCTTGTAGCGCACGTGCAGCGCGACCGCCTCGGCCTCGCGCTCCGCGCCCGGCCGGATGGTGCCCACCTCGATGATGTCGAGGAGGTACTTGTGTTGCTTCGCCGCGGTCCGCAGGTTGCGGAACCACTCGTTGAACTCCCGCTCGGAGCTCTGTTTGTAGGCCGGAATCACCAGCTTGTCCGTCGACGACATGTTGTCGTAATGTCCCGGGGATCGTTGCCCCGCCGCTACCAACTGTGAAGGTCTTCAGTGACCACTCACAAGCTGTTCCAAGGCCCGACAGAAATGTACTGTCAAAACTTTGTTCAAACAAAAGTCCTGGCCCGCGGCCCCCACACCCACAATGACTATCAATCCAGGCTGCGGGTGAAGGGCAAAACCGCGCCGCTGCAGAACGGTTTTTGCAAAACCGCGCCGCAGCGGTACGAAACTGCGCAGATGCAGTCCAGGGGTGGTAAGGACACTATGTGTGTGTGTGTGGCCGTAGACTAGACGGCTGCGCGGTCGTCGGTCTTCAACACAAGGAGCTCAAGATTCGCGAGCTCGTCGAGTCCGGGGAGGTCAAGGTCGAGTACGTCGAGAGCCTCAAGAACTTCGCCGACTTCTTCACCAAGCCGCTCCCGCGCAAGGAGTTCGAGTCGTTCCGCAAGGAGATCATGAACGACACCGCCTAGGACGGCACAGAGGGGAAACGCCGACTTCCCCTTCATCAAATGTAGTCGACAACCGGCAGTATGGGCGCTCCTGGAGCTCCCCGAGTCACTTGTACGTTCGTCCTCCACCCTTGAGGAGGCTGCGCAATTGTGCGCGCGATAGTAGGAGATGTAGGAGTCGTCTAGCTTCTTCAGATCCTCAGCCTCGCTACCCGATGCGAGGATGGGGGGCTGTTGAAGACCGACGACCGCGCAGCCGTCTAGTCTACGGCCACACACACACACATAGTGTCCTTACCACCCCTGGACTGCATCTGCGCAGTTTCGTACCGCTGCGGCGCGGTTTTGCAAAAACCGTTCTGCAGCGGCGCGGTTTTGCCCTTCACCCGCAGCCTGGATTGATAGTCATTGTGGGTGTGGGGGCCGCGGGCCAGGACTTTTGTTTGAACAAAGTTTTGACAGTACATTTCTGTCGGGCCTTGGAACAGCTTGTGAGTGGTCACTGAAGACCTTCACACAAGGTGCTCGAGGAACTCCCCGACCGCATCGACCACGAGACGAAGGTGCGCATGGCCCAGTCCTCGTACAAGAAGGTGTGCGCCAAGTCCCCCGGCCGCACCCTTCCGCACGACCCCTTCAAGAAGTCGGACTCCACCGCGACCGACCACGAGGAGGTGCGGGCGGCGCTGGCCGACTCTGTCACCCGCACGTTCGACCCGGACGGCATCGTCGGCGGCTTTGTCGCTGGCGTCGGCACCGACCAGGTCGAGGACACCTTCCCCGACTCCAACCCCACCGACACGCCCGCCATCCTCAAGGCCAAGACGGCGGCGCGCAATGCGGCGGAGGCACGGGCGCGCGGCGGGCTGTGGGTCAAGTTCACCTCGTTCGTCACCGCGCTGCCTCGCCCGTACATCGGCGCTTCCATCCTACTCGTCCTGCTCGGGCGAGATGGCGGCCTTCCTCGGCATCTCGCGCACTTCGCCCGGCTGGAAGTACGTCATCACCGAGGGTCCGCGCAAGGGGCACATCGGCACCACCACGCAGGCGACATTCTGCGTCAACGAGCTCTGGAACGGCATCGAGTACCGTGCTCCTACCTCCGACCTCACCCCGACGGACATCGAGGGCGCGTGGCCGGAGCCTGTGACCGCGGACGAGACGCCCGACGAGTCGGACAAGGCTACGCTCGACAACAACGTGACCCGCGGCGACTCCGTCTTCCTCCCCACCACCGACAACCACGCCGGGGGGCTGACCCTCGACGAGGAGGTGGTGATCATGCCAGACCCGGCCAACGACGGCAACGTCAACCCGCCCGCAGCGGGTGCGCCTGCGCCGCGCACCACTCGCAGCCGCGGCTGTTGTCGATCTTGATGATGGTCGGGCCCTTGGGCTTGTAGCCGAGCGACGCGAGGAGCGAGCGCAGGTGGACCGCCTCGCAAGCCGCCAGCGTGCCGGCAGAGATTTCGGCCTCGAATGTCGAGAGGGAGATGTGACCCTGCTTCTTGGAGAAGTACGAGAAGTCATGTCGTTGCTCAGGTCCACTCTCTCTTCGAACACTTGTGCCTCTACGGATGATGCCGGCGCTGGGGTCCCCTTCGGATGCATCGTGACAGACACAAAACTGGATTTCCACTGACATAAATAAATAAATAGAGCAGTCATCTCCAGGGAGAGATGGGCGACGCACACGAACACAGAGGGACAGTGCGCACCCCGCCCCGCTCGCAGGGCGTGCATCACACAGGTGGACTGTGACACTGGGGTGGATTGCTTTCGCGCAATTTCTTTTATTTATCGGTGATCACATACACATGAAGTCGCTCCGAGTCCTCCTCCTCGCCGTGCTGCCCGCCGCGGCAGCGCTGCGTGTCGCTCCGCAAATGCAGCTCGCGTCGGCGCCGGCCGCCGGCCTTGCCGCCGCCGCCGCCCTCGCGACGGCGCTCCCCGCCTCTGCGGCGAGGAGTGGCGGCCGCGTCGGCGGCAGGGTGAGTGGTGGCGGCGGATACCGCGGCGGCGGCGGCGGCGGCGGGTACCGCGGCGGCTACGGCGGCAGCACAAACGTCTACGTCGCGCCGCCGATGTCGCCCTTCGGGTTCGGCGGCTTCGGCTTCTCGCCCTTCGGGTACGGCTTCTCGCCGTTTGGCTTTGGCTTTGGCGTGCCGGCGCCGCTGCTGCTCCTCTTCGTCGGCGGCGCCGCCCTCACGTCTTTCCGCTCGGCCCGCGGGATCGAGGCGTCCGACAAGGCGGGCGCCGCGCTGTGCCTGCAAGTCGCCTGCTACTGCGACGACCGAAACGACTCGCTGTACGGCCGCCTGCAGTCGGTGGCGCGGTCGGCCGAGACGCAGTCGTACGAGGGCCTGCAGCGGCTGTGCTCCGACTCGTGCCTCGCGATGCTGCGCTCGTCCAAGGACTGGCTCGCCGGCCGCACCGAGAGCACGACGGCGGGGCTGCTCACCAACGACGTCGAGACGTCGTACAACCGCCTGGTCGTGCAGGAGCGCTCCAAGTGGGAGAGCGAGCAGGGCGCGCTCACGCGGTCCGCGCCGGGCCAGCCGACGTACATGGTGGCCACGCTGGTCGTGCTGCTCCGCCAGGGATCCGAGCTCCCGTCGGTCTCCACCGCCGCAGACTTGCGCGAGGCCATCTCTGCGCTGGCGGCGGACGTGAGCGTCGAGGATAACCTGCTCGCCGCGGAGCTCCTGTGGACGCCCGAGGACGGCAACGACGTCATGGAGCGCGACGACCTCTTCCTGAACTTCCCCGAGCTGGTGAACGTGTGAGCGGCGCAGTGCGCACACACGGCCCGGCGCAGGCTGCGGACAGAGCGGCTCGCGCAGCAACGCAGCAACTCTTGTAGTGGTAGTGAGCTGTCTCAGCTCACAGGAGAACGAGGATCTACACCTTCGAGCGCGAACAAGCCGAACCCCCCCGGGCCGATCTCTGATTAGTAACATCACGTGCGTATTGGTTGTGAGAGATACACACGGCGCGACGCGGCCTAGAGCTCTCTCTGCACTCTGGTCTCTCGGTAACTCTCGGTCTCTAGGTAGGTAAGGTAAACTTCTCCACACACACGAGGTGGTGGGGCAAGGGGGGGCAACCCTCGCGTCTCCACGTCTAAAACGACAGGAGCCCCACGGCATTCAAAGTGCAAGGCCCGTTGCGCGTGGGTGAGCGGTGTGTGTGTGTGTGGTGTGTGGTGTGTGTGTGTGTGTGTGTGTGTGTGTGTGTGTGTGTGTGTGTGTGTGTGTGTGTGTGTGTGTGTGTGTGTATCTCGGTCTCTCGTTCTCTCGAGAGTGTCGAGATCGATATAAAAGCACACCGATATAACAGATATCTCGCACGCAGTACCGTGCAGAGAGTCCGGCCCGACGCACAAACCCATAAAGACATTCGCGCTCACGGACCACCGCGTGATCATACACCAGCACCCCCGCTCAGCCGGAGCGCCGCCCACAGCCTCTCCAGCCACCCGTCGATCTCAGTGTTGCCTGTGCGGTCGTCGGCCTCGCCGCGCCTGCAGAAGCGCGTGCCGCCGAGGTGCTTGAGCCACGAATCTACCTTCTCAGCCGCCTGGTTGCAGTCGCGAGCTCCAAAGCAGTCCACGCGCCGCCACGCGACGGCGAGGAGGTTCGAGTCGCCAAGGCCGAGCACCGCGAACTGAAGCCCGTCCAGCGTCTTGGGGCCGTGCGATTTGCGTCGGAGGAAACGGAGGCAAGCTGCTGAAGCTGGGCACGGCTGCTCGTCCTCGACCGTGGTGATCAAAAGCAAGGCGGGTGAGGACTGCGCCGGCCCGCCGCTGAAGGCCTCAAAGTCGACGAGATTGTGCATGGTCACCTCGACGCCGTTCTCACACGCTGCGTCCCGCACGCGCAAAGCGATTGCCTCGCTGAAACCACCGCCGTGGAAGACGTTCAGGTGCGAGCTCTCTCTCCGCGACGCGAGCAGGGCCTCGTGCGGAAGCGCCATCCACACACCCCTGGCTGTACTCCTCGCTACCTAGGAGCGCAATGCGGAAAAAAGAATCTTAAGAGCGGAAAAAAGAATTTGGCGGCCAAGAATTTTTGTCCGACTATCACCGCAGACTGCCAATGAGGCATTCCCTTCCTCTGTGCGGTCACTGTCAGACAGCTGTCAATCCCACTGTGTGCTATCGGGGGCTGTCGGACAGCTGTCAGGCTGTCAGATTTGGGTCTCACAGCACCGGATCGTCTCGCATGGCAGACTCTCGGCTGTCATACTGTCAGATACGTGCTGTCGTGCTGTAAGAAAGCTGTCAGGCTGTCGGGCGCTGTCACGTGTCAGGCGCTGTCTGGGTTCACTGTCAAGCTGCCAGAGGGCTCAGGCCGCATACGCTCCGCAAATCTACATGTACGGCTTGACTAGCTCGAGCTGGCGCTCCTCGCACGCGTGCACGAGGTGGTCCGCCCAGCCGGGGGCGGCGACGCCCAGAACCCTCTGCGGGCCTCGGTTGAAGTAGAAGAAGTATTCCGTCGCCCGCGCGTGTGCTTGGGGATGTCCGGGCTGACCACGCCCCATCCACGCGATTTGGCCGAACATTGTGAAGCATTGGCGGATTGAAGAGACAGCGCGGAGGCTCGGATCGAAGAGGTACTGGGAGCCATTTGGCCATTTTGAGGGCGCGAAGAGCTCCGACCTCCGTGCTCCGTGCGGAGCCTCTGCGTGGTGAGAAACTGCGTAGACCCGGGCCTCCCATCCCTCCCTTGGGCTGGCTGTTTTCTTTCTTTCTTTTTACGGCTAGCGTCAGCTGTCTCGACTTATCCGAAGGGAATCCCACAGTGTATCACCTGGCTGACTCACCGGGTGACTCACCCGTGCATTGTGAGCGCCTCGTTCAGCGCCTGCAGGAAGAGCTCGTGCTGGAGCTGGCCGTCGAGCCGGCCGGCCTGTGCCCAGCCGTGCACCGGGTCGCCGACCGCCTCGCAGCCGCTCGCCTCGAGCAAGAGCTCGAGCGCCCAGCCCAGCTCGCGCGGCGCCTTAAGGTACGGCCGCAGGTGTGCCTAGCAGGCCCCAAGTGAGGTGAGGCACACACCTCTCCACACGCCAGTGTGGGGCAAGGGCCGGGCGGTCCCCCCGCCTCTCCACTCTCCCCAAAGCATTCATGACAGTGCCAAGAGTCGAGGCCCGGTGCTCAGGGGCGAGCGGTGTGGATGGACTGCGTGCCTACTCTGTCCACCGGCCGTCTTGCGATTTCAGGCCACAATTGTGTGTGTGTGTGTGTGTGTGTGTGTGTGTGAGGACAGAGAATCGCCCCGTCACGCGCCTTGAGCCAGAGCTCGGGCCGGAGGTACCAGCCCTCGTCCCAACTGGGCGCCGGGGTGCGCACCACCAGAAAGGCGAGGTCGGCGCCCGCCTAATCTCGGGTGATGGGTGATCTCGGGATAATCCCGGGATGATCTCGGGTGCTCTCGGGATGATCTCGGGGTGATCTCGCCTTGAGCTCGACGCCCTCCCGCAGCGCGAGCCGCTCGGCGTCGAGCGAGAAGAGCCGCGTCTCGAAGTCGCCAAACTCGAGCTGCTCGTGCCCGCCGGCATAGTCGGTCGGCACGCACCCCTGCGTAAGGTAAGGTCAGGTAAGGTCCACTTCTCCACACACACTATCTCGGCAGAGTCTCGGAGCTATCTTGGGAGTGTGCGGCGGCGCCTCCGACACGCCGCTGTCGATCAGCAGCGCGCAACGCTGGTCGGAGCTGCGAAAGGCACTGACGGTGAGCCGCCACGGGCTCTCTCGTCGTGTGTTTCGCACCGCGAGCTCGCCTAGCCGACTTGCCACGGACGCGTCGCGACCGTGTCCTAGAGAGCCGCTGGGGCCCGCGCGCAGAACGCCCAAAGATATCAACCAGCGCCTCCTGGCTCCATCTCGGCTCCATCTAGGCCTCATCTGGGCTTCATCTGGGCTTCATCTCGGCTTCATCTCCATCTCGGCTCCATCTCGCCCAGGAAATCGACGAGCGCCTCCTGGCTCTCCAGCGCGGCCTCTGGCACGGCGCCGGCGGCCAGGTCGATGTGCGCGTGCACGTAGCGGTGCTCGCGGCCGAGCGCCGGGTAGGGCGTCGCCGAGAGCGGCTTGCAGACGTCGAGCAGCACCGCGTCGCCCGCACAGATCCGCACCAGGAACTGGTACTGCTCGAGCGGCGGAGGCCGTCTCCGCTGCGTCGGCCGCGCGAGGCGCGCGTAAACGCTCTGGAAGCTGGCGACCGCACTCAGCGACGCGGCCGCCGGGTAGTCGCGCCGGCACAGCTCTCTCCACAGATGGTTCGAGCCAGCGGCGTCATTCCAGCGTCGACAGACTGCACCAGCGGCTAGCAAGCCCGTCGGCCCTCCAGTCCAGGACAGGGCCATTAGGACAAGGGCTAGCAGGTCGTCGTCGTCCAGCAGTAGTGTCAGCGTCAGCGGCGGGCTGTTCTGGTCGACAGACACCTCGTCCTCGATGTGATCACGGTCGGAACAGATCAGAGTATTACCCTCCTTATAAACCGCGCCCGAGGTGGACTCGCTGCTGCAGACGGGTGGCTGCAGGCTATAGGACGGCTTCTCACTGTCGGCTTCGGCTGTCTGATTGCCGACGAGCCACGGCGGCTTCTCGCTGTCGGAGCGAGCGGGCGGAATGTCAAAGACGCTGAAAGGATCTTGGGAGGACGCCGCCCGGTCAGCCATGTGTGAGAAAAAAAATGGCACCAGCCAGGCAGTTGATTTGGCCCTGGCACCAGCCTTGGCAGTTGAGTTGGCCTTGGCACCAGCCTTGGCGGGCGGGCACGCGGGACATGCACGGGCGCCAAGGGGCGCGGCGCCGACAATCACGGCGGTCATTGCGGCGCAGGTGGGGGGACGGGAAGTCCGTCGGCGTTGCCGGGGGCCCAAGGAAGCGCGAGGGAAAAATTCCGCCGCTGAGGGCGCTCGTGCGGCAATAGCCGAGTGGAGGGGGGAGCGTGCCGGACGGGGCGTCGTCGCGCCGTCCGATGGTCTGCTGCCCCGCGCAGCAACCGTCGGGCGACGACCCGGGGGCCAAAAACCCGGCGACGACGGCGCTCTGGATGGGGCGTGACCTCCTGCCTCCAACCTCCTTCCTTTTTGAGCAGGTGTGACGCCGCGCGAGCGACGCTCCGAGATCGCCCGAGATAGCGCGGCGCGGCCCCGAGATCGCCCGAGATAGCGCGAGATCGCCCGAGATCGCGCGGCGCGGCCCGGGGCGGGGTGGATGGGTTGGGAGCGAGGGGGCGGAAGTGACCAGTGCGGTAGATCGGTCAGCTCGAGGCGCGTGAGCCGGACTTGTGAGCCGGACCACCCCCTCTTGAACCCTGCGTTGTTGAGCCAGGACTCAACATACTCGGGCTGTCGCCGTCCCAAACTGTCACTCCCCTCTCTCCCGGCCGACACTCACAGCCGCGGCGGCCGAGCTGCAGGCAATGCTACCGGCGAAAGATGATGCGCGCGCCGGAGAGTTAGGTCGCTCACATGGTGGGAGGGGCCTGCTACGTTCAGGGTTCGGCGCTGCAAAAGAGCGTGTCTCTCGTCACTAAGGGCACGGTGAACACTTGTGCCTACATTCATCCTTCCGTGGCGTTTATGTGCGGGTCGGGTCGGGTGGGGAAGGCGGACCGGCACTCGTGTGGATTCGAGCGCCGGTGCCGCCGGCGTGGCGCTAGCAGGGCGCTAGAGAGCCCGATCCATCGCTCTCGAGCTCCTCGCGCTGCCCAGGTGCCTTGGTCGTATCCACTTCTGGATGGCGATCGATTCTGCCTTCCCCGCTACCTACCTAGGGAAGAGATGATTTTCCCACCTACATGGAACATGCACAGAAAGAATAAATTCTTGCATTTTTGCTCCCGGCTAAGGGAGCAAGCAAGCCCACTCAACCCCAAGTACTCACCATTCTTACAGTGGTGTAGCTTGTGCAGAGGCTGCAGCCTCTGCTGGGGCGGAATGCGCGGGGTTTTCGGCGCGATGCCCTCGGCGAGTACACGCTACAGCTGTGCCGCACGCTCTCCTGCGCGCGCGTGACGTGTGGGACGCGTGCGCTGCGCTCAAACGTCGCGATTTGGCGATAGGCGCTCGAGCCGGCGCACAGCGGATAGGTGCGCCGCGCAGGGGGGGTCGGAGGGGTGCGAGAGGGGGCGTGGGTCGGGCGCGCACCGGCTGGCTCCGGGAGCGGCCGTCACGTCGAGGAGTGGGGCTGTCGGCGGCTCGAGCGCCGAGGCGAGCCGCTCTGCTGCGCCGCCGACAGCCCCTCTTCCGAGCCGGCGCGTGGAGGCGAGCCGCGGCCGGTGTCGCTGGTGCGGGGGCGGCGCAGCGTTTATCCCCCCCCACCCGCCGCCCGCCCGCCCGCCCGCCCGCCCTCAGGCCTTGCCCCTCCGCAGGCGCGGGAGCGCTCGCCGGCGAGCACCTCCTACCTCTCGTCGCCCGGCTGCTCCCTTCCCCCGTCACCCGCCGCGCCCTCGCCCGGCCGCCTCACCGCGCACGGATCGCTCGCCTGCTCGCCGCCACAGCCGCGTGCGTGTCCCCGCGCCGCCACGCTTGCCCCCTCTCCTGACGCGCACCCCGCGCAGACGGCGCTCCGGGACAGACGGAGCAGCGACCGCGCGCGCGGTCGCTGCTCCGCCCCTCCGTCGCGCGCGCCGCGCGCGCGCGCTCTGCCGCCGCTGCCGCCGCGCCCCCCTCGCCGTCTGTTTCCCGCCGTACTCGAGTATGGTGTGCGGTGCGCGCACGCGCAGCGCACACAGCAGCACCTCCCCACACCCCACCCACCCCGTCGCGCCGCCGCCGCCGCCCCCGCCGCCGCCGCCGCCCCCGCTGTAGCGTTTGGGGGGGCGACTGGCGACGGCAAAAATGCAAGCCCCGCCCCTGGCCACTGTAAAACAGACAACCCAGGGAGGGATGGGAGGACGGCACGCCACACGGGATTTTCATGCGCGCACTCCCGTTTCTTTTTTCTTCGAGTGCGCGCGGTCTGCTGTGTGCAGCTTGGCCAATAACCTGCCGCGGTCCATGTGCCTGTCCTCCGGCTCCTCTGAGGGCTCCGGCTCCGGCTCCGACGAGCAGGGAGGCGGCTCCGACTCTGACTCCGAGGACATCAACGTCGACGAACAGGGCCGGCCCGCCATCGGCGGATCGATCGACCTCTCGACCCGGGTCTTTGACGGCGCGCTGCCCTCCGGCGCCGACCCCGGGCCGCTCATCGCCGACTGCGAGGCCGTCTTCACGGCGCGGGCGACCGGCGCGGGCGAGGGGCTCTCCTCCGGAGCCACTTTTTGGGTGGCGGCCAACGCGAAGCCGAAAACGGCGCTCGAGCGGCTCGCGTTGCAAATCTTTGCGCATCACGCGGCCGGCGCGGAGTACGACCCGTCGCGCTCGGGCGCCGAGTGGTGGACGGTCGTCATCGACGATACCGACGACGTTGGCCTGCACTGGGACCGCGACTACGACTTGCAGGCTCGCCATGCCGCCACGCCACAACTGCCGCCACCACCACCACCGCCGCCGCCGCCGCCATCACCACCACCACCACTGGCGCCGTCTCACCACCGCCGCCACCGCCGCCGCCATCACCGCCGCGACGCGCCCACACAGGCCGACCAGGGGCTGCTGCTGCACCCGCACCTCGCCACCGTCACCTACCTCGCCTGCCCGGCGGCGGCGGCGCCGACGCTGGTGCTGGAGCGGCCGTCGCCGCTGCTCGCGACGGAGACCGCCCCACCGCCGTGCGGCGTGCGTCCACTGACACCTCCACGACACCTCCACGACACCTCCACGGTAGGAGCCGCTCTCCGGGCCCGTCCCCTCGGCGTGTGTCGTCCGGCCCACATTCGGCCGCCACCTGGTCTTTGACGGCAAGCTGCTTCACGGCGCCCTTTCGGACCTCGCCCTCCCGCCGCCGCGCGCGGCCGCGCCTGGCGGCGAGGGCAAGCGCGTCACCTTCCTGGTCAACGTGTGGCTCAACCACGCGCGTGGCGGCCGAGGTCGAGGCGCGTCCCCTGACGCGTCCCTGACACACGTCCCTGACGCGTCCACAGGCGCCTTGGGGCGCCGAGCCGCTGGGCAAGAAGCTGGCGAAGAGGCTGGCGGCCCCCGCCTCGACCTCGCTCACCCTCCGGGAGGCGACCCTCTCGCGCGGCGCCGCCGTCGGGCCGGTGTGCGCCGCGGGCGGCGGCGGCGGCGGAAGAAGCGGACGCGGAAGCGGCGGCGGCGGCGGCGGCGGCGGCGGCGGCGGCGGCGGCGGCGGCGGCGGCGGCGGCGGCGGCGGCGGCGCGGCTCCCAACCGCACCTTCACCTTTGGAGAGCGCGCCGCGAGGATGCAGCTCACGCTGCCTTGTCCAAACGAAGCGGACGCCGCCGCCGCCGCCGTGGACGGGTTTGCGCGGGTGGCCTTTTTGGAACGGGG